TATTTGATTTTCCTAATATTTGCCCAGAGAGAACTCGCTTGAAATTAACCTCCTGCTCAATCTTTCGATCATTCTGTTCCTACATATGAGCCGTTTATTTTGAAAGTGGCATAAGTCACTTTACCGTAATGAAAAGTGGTGATTTTTTAACTTTTACGCGAAATTATTTATACCGAGAAAAATATCAGTATCCTGAGATAACAAATACAAGTAAATCTTCTCGAAAGTTAGCATCCATATTTTTTAAACATGTTCAAACGCAAACCCTTAAATATATCGACTTAAAAACAAAGTGACCGACTTAAAAACGAAGTGACTTATGCCACTTTCAAAATAAACGGCTCATATGATTATTTAGATATTTTAACACATCATACATATAGTCGAAGCAGTGAAACGACTTCAAAACAAAATGACTTATGCCACTTTCAAAATAAACGACTCATATGATTATTTAGATATTTTAACACATCATACATATAGTTGAAGCAGTGAAATGACTTCAAAACAAAATGACTTACGCCACTTTCAAAATAAACGGCTCATATGATTATTTAGATATTTTAACACATCATACATATAGTCGAAGCAGTGAAATTTTTTCATTTTGTCCATTGACGGGCCCCACCGTGCGCCGTCCCAACATGGTACACACTGTGGACCGTACAACCGTCCGGCAAAACCGTCATCCGAATCACTTGGGCTTTCCCCAGCTAGTCTTAGCGAAGACGAACATCGTTCTCCATCTCCCTTGGTTCTTAAACTTCTCTATCGTTCTTGACAGCCCGGTCTACCTCTATAGATCTCCTCCTCTCTCTTTTTTTCTCTCTTTTTTCTCTCTCTCTCTCTCTCTCTCTCTCTATCTATCTGTCTATACATCTCTTTTCATCTCTATTCTCCCTTTCTTTCTCCTCCACTTTCGCGTCGCTCGCCGGGAACGAGGAACCCAGACAGGGAAGGTTTGCACGTGCGTGTGCAGAGGGGTCTTTCGACTGATCCTGCTCCAAGGGTGGAGCTTAAAATAAGGGTGGTACCTCCACGGCTTACCTACCCCATCGGGAAACAGCGTCGGGGATGAGATGGAAGCGAAGGAAGAACAGTAGGAGGAGAGACGCGCCGCCGGAGCGATATAGGGACCAAGGACCAAACTCGACACGAGGTCTCTACGAAGAGTAGAACACCGGACGCCGTGCACTAGTCGTAATTTAAGTGCGACAGACGCCGGACACTGTACGTGATTCTCCCGTCAAGGTTCACTCGGTCGACTCAAGGTCGTGACAGGAATCGAAATTCGGAGATTACACGGTTCTTCTTCTTTTTTTTTCCCTCTTCTCTGTTTCCGTCCCTTTATCGGCGCAGCACCGCGAGTCGCCGGCCGGTCGTTGTTGTTGTTGCTGCGGTGATCCCGAAGGAATGGCGTATGTGCACGGGATCTGAGGGAGAAGTATTCGTGAAAAAGCTTCGCGGAAGCTTGCGCCGCGATCGCGGACACGTGATCGCAAGCATGGTGTGAGTAAACGGTGTCGTTGCCCAAAGTGAACCCAAGTGCCGGCCGATTCCTCTATGATAATCGCACGTGAGATCCGCTGGAGCGAATTCGCGCGCGATCAACCGACCGACTAAAGATGGCGCCCATGGTCGAGGACCATGATCGTAGCATTATTTTAGAGAGCGACCCTTACAACGGTAACTGGAGGCGTAAACAAGCTCCGAAAGGTATTCAATCATTTTTTCTGAATCGAGCGTACGAGCGTTCTCCTAGACGATTCTCCTTTAGACTCGCGAAGCTCTCGCCTCTTCTTCACCTCTAAGCTCGCAAAAATTAGTTCACGAAACGTTCCGACGATAGAAAATACGGTACCCGACCGACCCCCATTGTGCCTTCAGATTTTCTCGGACCTGTTCGTTCCGCGGCCGCGGAACGTTTTGCGAAAGTTTCACGCCTCTTCTTTACAGCGTGGAAAGGAACAAACGATTTTTAAACGCTCGTTCGCGGGAATATTGAAGATAGGTGTGTAACCGAGTTGCGTTCCTACGGTGCCATGCATGTCAACGTCTCTGTGGAAGTTCCGAGTACCGTGGCAATATACCACGAGGCTTGCACGGTTCTCCATTTTTCTTTCATTTTCATTCTTACTGTCAGCAGGCGCGCGTTGCGTTTTATTCTCGCGTAGGCGAACGCTTTAAAGAGAAACTCTCGGCTCTTCTTGTATTCGAATCACCCGATAGACTCGAACGCAAATATTATGTCGTTGAAAGATTTTTAGGAGCCGGTTACTGTGGGCTGATCAATCGCCGTGCGTTCGATTTGCATTCGAGCATGATTGACGTTATATTTATCGAATAAGGCGTGTTGAACTGATTTCTTAAAAAAATAAACCGAATAAAAGAATATAACCGATATAAATACAAAGTTAATTATATACCCGAAAACAAACCGCACAGTAACCGGATCCACCGCCCTATGTAATTACGCTTTTCTCACGGCGACGTCTGAATTTTTTTGTAAATTCAGCGACCTGTTTTTCCACTTCGCGCGGAAGATCGCACGGCCGAGTCGCAGAATCGTTGGTTGGAACGACGGAGCACGGAGAAAAAATGCATTATTCAAGCGAATCTTCATCCGTGAGAAGTCCTGGTAGATGGGTAGCTACGTCGTTAGGTTGCTCTCTTGCCGGCGTTTTAATGACGGTTTGCTCCCTTTGCTTTCGGTTCTTATAACGATGAGCTTCGACGTCGTTACGGCCTCCGCGCGCTGTATCATGGACGACGCGACCCGCTTCCATCGATTGCGATATTAGCAACGTTGTCCGTTCAATTTGGGACGAGAAAATCACGCGAATCGTATTCGAATTCCACTCTTCCAATATGTTCGATCCCATTACTGCGGATAATCGGTCGCACTTGACATAATGATCACTGGACTGTGGATCTTTATGCGAAATAAAACTCGCCTCCGTTGACTTTACGGAACATAAGTCACATAGAAATTTCGTTTTTCGTCGAACAAATTGCAACAAGGCGGATGCGATGCATCGACGCTATTAAGTACCGTCACTTTATTTAGTAATTTAATACCTAGCAATTTAACACCTAATAATTCCGGTCATAGACGCATAAAATCCGCAGTCCAATGATCACCTTTCGAGTCTTGTACCGCGGTTCACGAGATCTACGCTTCTGTTAAACATTGCCACTCGCGCTTCTCTCGCTTTTTATGGTGAGAAAATAAATAAGTTGCACTGGAATCGTCGTCTTACAAAAAATTAATAGCCGCGATTCGAAAGAGTAGGAAGATTCGAAGAGAATCGCTTTTTCCTTGCGGTAGATGTGTGTACATGTTATTGCAGTATCTACAAAAAGAATAATTCTGAACAGAGAAACAGCGTAAAAACTAATTGAACTTGAAGAAAAATGTAAATCAATGTTGTTCCAAGTTGTACAGGTGTTAATGTGTCAATAACCCTGTCCTACTTTTACAGTTTCCGAACCGGACTCTGAAGGTGCAATTAGCGAGTTCTCGCGTGTTACTGTCTTTTCCTCTGCGATACAGTTCTTACACTCCCCTTTCTTCTTTCGCCTCGTTAAACCGAAGGGGTACGAGTAAAGAATTCGAATGTCGTATCGATTAAACATCGATCCTCGGCGTTTTTTCCTGATCTCTTTCCCTCGGTTTCTTTTCCAGGCAGCAGCCTACCTGAATCAGACACCCTAGACCTGAGCTCGGACAGTCATCGGCACAACAACAATTCGATCATCGGCGCGTCCGGCCCGCAGGAAGTCGTGATGAAGGAGAAAAGCAAGAACGCGGCTCGATGGCGGCGCGAGAGGGAGAACTACCAGTTTCTGCAACTGGCGACGTTGTTGCCGCTTCCGATGCCGATCACTACGCAACTGGACAAGGCCAGCATCATTCGATTGACGACGAGCTACCTGAAGATGCGAGACGCGTTTCCGGATGGTAATTATCGAATCACCTTTCTCTTTGCGCTCGAACGATTTGAACCAGGGGGTTGAAAACAGTCGCGACATCGATTTCGGTTCTTCAAACAGTTACGGAGCACCGAAATGTTCTCATAACTTTTTCGGTCCTGAGTCTCGGAGTTTCATGGATTTCGGTTCGAATTCTATTTCGCATAACGCAGAACGATCCGAGCATCGCGACGCTGCTAGGATGATCGGCGAATTCGAGGGAAGACTCGTAACGGTTGACCGGCGCGCCAATTAAAAGGATGCGCTCGCAGGGCACGGGGACAACGCGACAAACGTCGGCATGAAATTTACGATCACGCTCGCGAACACGATTACGATTTACGAGCACAGCTGCGATCGCGATCACGATTATAAAATAACGATACGAAATTATATTGTAACGTACACGGTTTACGGCTTCGGCGTGCGATTACGAGAATTATTGTATACTATTCTTACTGTCTTTTTGTATCGTATTTGGTGTGCGTCACTGTTTAGTAATAAATAGAATTGTTACCAAAACATGCATATCTCGACGGTATCTCTACTGTTTTGTTTACCACGCATTACACTGCGATGAATTTTCCCAATACGAAATCCGAAACCGAGATCCAGAATCGAAACTGAAACCGAAACCGATATAAATCAGAACCGATGTACTTCGTAACTATTATGAAACTTTTTCGGTTCTCTATAATTGTTTTAGACAAAACAGTTTCGAATGTAATAGTTTCAAACAGTTATTTTCAGAATCTTTTCAATCCTTGATTTTAACCCTTTACAATCGAAGCGATTTTAACTCTAAATTCAAAATAGTTCTTCTGACCTACGATACTTCTTTTATATGACTTACTAGTGCATTTTATACATATTTGAATTTGAATTTATTCATATATATATAATAATAATAATATAAATTATATATGTTAAGTGTTAAGTATGAATATTATTTTGTTCTCTTAAGTTGTTTATAAAATTCTCTTCCCTTGTCATCAATATTTAAGCACTGAAGTAAACGTAGACACAGAATAAATATAAATTTTCCTTTTCTTCTAAGAAATGATCACAATCGAAAAGGTTCAAATCGTTGTAACTGCGAAGAGAATAGTACTCAAGGGGTGAAAAAAATACAAAATTTACCCTCGACGAATCAGAGATATTCCAAGTTTACAAGCTATCTCTCGTACGACGAGAAATTATCGTAGAAATATTCAGAAATGAGCCGTTTTTATTTTGAAAGTGGCCTAAGCCATTTTTCAAAAACACCGAGCTAGCTATTTTAATATTCACATTTCTACGTGATACATATAATTTCATGTCAGCAAAGCTGAAAGAACGCAGTGACCCTTAGGAACACAAAAACTTTATACCACCATGTTATCAATTAGCAATATTTTTAAATTGATTAAAACGTAAAAACCTTAAATATCTGGATTTGCAAATAAATGGACTTAGGCCACTTTCAAAATAAACGGCTCAAATATTTCTTACAAAATATTGCTATATATTAATTAGGAATATTTATTTTCTCATANCGATATAAATCAGAACCGATGTACTTCGTAACTATTATGAAACTTTTTCGGTTCTCTATAATTGTTTTAGACAAAACAGTTTCGAATGTAATAGTTTCAAACAGTTATTTTCAGAATCTTTTCAATCCTTGATTTTAACCCTTTACAATCGAAGCGATTTTAACTCTAAATTCAAAATAGTTCTTCTGACCTACGATACTTCTTTTATATGACTTACTAGTGCATTTTATACATATTTGAATTTGAATTTATTCATATATATATAATAATAATAATATAAATTATATATGTTAAGTGTTAAGTATGAATATTATTTTGTTCTCTTAAGTTGTTTATAAAATTCTCTTCCCTTGTCATCAATATTTAAGCACTGAAGTAAACGTAGACACAGAATAAATATAAATTTTCCTTTTCTTCTAAGAAATGATCACAATCGAAAAGGTTCAAATCGTTGTAACTGCGAAGAGAATAGTACTCAAGGGGTGAAAAAAATACAAAATTTACCCTCGACGAATCAGAGATATTCCAAGTTTACAAGCTATCTCTCGTACGACGAGAAATTATCGTAGAAATATTCAGAAATGAGCCGTTTTTATTTTGAAAGTGGCCTAAGCCATTTTTCAAAAACACCGAGCTAGCTATTTTAATATTCACATTTCTACGTGATACATATAATTTCATGTCAGCAAAGCTGAAAGAACGCAGTGACCCTTAGGAACACAAAAACTTTATACCACCATGTTATCAATTAGCAATATTTTTAAATTGATTAAAACGTAAAAACCTTAAATATCTGGATTTGCAAATAAATGGACTTAGGCCACTTTCAAAATAAACGGCTCAAATATTTCTTACAAAATATTGCTATATATTAATTAGGAATATTTATTTTCTCATAAAAATTCATCGATATATTTTCATCGAAATCATCGTGTTCATTCTTCCGAAGTATCGCCTGCCAGATTTTACGGGATTTTTGCTGCGTATAAATGCGGCATCGGGCCGTTAAGGGTTGAGAGCAACAAAGATAATCCTGGCGATAAAACATCATAATAGAATAACCCTTTGCAATGAGAATGTCGGCGAGGACTAATCGAGTTGGAAATGTCGATGCGGTATCGAAGGAAAGCCGAAGAATATCTTCTTTCTCTCGGATTGATTAAACATCGCGGTAAACCCACTCGATAACAAGAAACAAATCGATTGATTCGCCGCACGAATGCCGGCGTGTGACAGAACCACGTGCCGGCAATAAACTTCACTTAGCGGTAAACGGATGAAACGCTATTCTTTGTTAATTCAGGCACCGGACACTTATGCGCAAAGGGCAAATAGTATCGGATGAGATGGATGTGATTGCGCACTTAATGCATTGTTAGTCCCTGGTGCTTTGTAAGCAAAGCATGGGGGCTGTTATAGTGTTACAATAGCTTCTCCCGTCTCGTCTCCCTTCTTACGACATCGGTGAATTGAATTTCAAGTGGCTGCATCCCTCTAGAATACGGCCGCGTCTCTATTCTCTTTTTTATACAAAAAAGAAAGAAGAGAGACCGAAAAAGAACTCGACACCCACCCTCTCTGGCTTTTCTTAGGGGCGTCTTTTTTTCTCTTGAATTGGAAAATTAGCAGAAGCATGGCTAAACAGACGTGAAATTCGTTCGATCAATCAAGTATCGTCGATAAACGTGAAATTAATAAAAAAAAGATGGTAAAAACAGTTTATATCGACGCGTCGCGAAGAATGCATTGTTTTCTCGGCTGAAACCTTTCGAACAGTTAACGCGATCCTTTTCTTCAAATTTATTTAGATCTTGTTCAGTTTTCGTTATAATACTCGCGCCAATATTTTCCGTTATTATTAATAGAACGAAATACTCATTGTTCGACTGCAAATTGTTCTGGAAACGTTCACTTTCCTCCACCAAGAAATCTCATTGAACCATCAATTATTGATCGTATCGACGCTTTATTTTTCGGATCGTCGACAGTTGAAAATATAACGTCAGAAACAACAATATATTTGCAAGTAAGATAGTTTAGTGGAGCCGGTTACCGTGATGTGACCAATTTCTATGACTTAGCTTTGTTTTTGAGCATAATTAACATTTTTTCGAATATATTAGATTCTTTTATTCAAAAAATAAACAAAACGAAAGAGTAAACGTAACCGGCTCCTCGTGCGAGAAATGAAAAACAGAAGAGCGAGAACTTGTAATAATCAGTTATAAATGAAACGAATTCGATGGTCAATGACATCTCGATGCAGTTTTAGCAGCGAACGCACGCTAGCTTCCTCCGTCGTAATTATCGAGCGATTATTACGTAACAACCGATTCCATCGAATCTATTAGTAGCGCGAGCACCGATAAGCGATAATAACCGATAAAATTGATCGAATTGCCGTTCAGTGACGAGGTGTACCAATGATCAAGCCATTTTCCGCGAAATTTCACACGGCTGCAGAAAACACACCCCTCTGCAGCTGCACCACGTAGATGTATTGTAATTAATGCGCAGACACGGAATACTTGGCTACAGGCTTAGTTACACGTGGAGAGTACGAAACGCCGTTAGAAACATGTATATTGGATCATCTGGATAAGGAGGCGACGCGTATTACAATGTGTGCCATGTCTTCCGTCGAGACAACTTCCTTTCTGAGAATCACAGGTTTNTATATAATATTAATAGTAATATATATAATATAATATATATAATAGTAATAATATTATAATATATATATAATATTAATAGTAATATATATAATATAATATATATAATAGTAATAATATTATAATATATATATAATATTAATAGTAATATATATAATATAATATATATAATAGTAATAATATTATAATATATATATAATATTAATAGTAATATATATAATATAATATATATAATAGTAATAATATTATAATATATATATAATATTAATAGTAATATATATAATATAATATATATAATAGTAATAATATTATAATATATATATAATATTAATAGTAATATATATAATATAATATATATAATAGTAATAATATTATAATATATATATAATATTAATAGTAATATATATAATATAATATATATAATAGTAATAATATTATAATATATATATAATATTAATAGTAATATATATAATATAATATATATAATAGTAATAATATTATAATATATATATAATATTAATAGTAATATATATAATATAATATATATAATAGTAATAATATTATAATATATATATAATATTAATAGTAATATATATAATATAATATATATAATAGTAATAATATTATAATATATATATAATATTAATAGTAATATATATAATATAATATATATAATAGTAATAATATTATAATATATATATAATATTAATAGTAATATATATAATATAATATATATAATAGTAATAATATTATAATATATATATAATATTAATAGTAATATATATAATATAATATATATAATAGTAATAATATTATAATATATATATAATATTAATAGTAATATATATAATATAATATATATAATAGTAATAATATTATAATATATATATAATATTAATAGTAATATATATAATATAATATATATAATAGTAATAATATTATAATATATATATAATATTAATAGTAATATATATAATATAATATATATAATAGTAATAATATTATAATATATATATAATATTAATAGTAATATATATAATATAATATATATAATAGTAATAATATTATAATATATATATAATATTAATAGTAATATATATAATATAATATATATAATAGTAATAATATTATAATATATATATAATATTAATAGTAATATATATAATATAATATATATAATAGTAATAATATTATAATATATATATAATATTAATAGTAATATATATAATATAATATATATAATAGTAATAATATTATAATATATATATAATATTAATAGTAATATATATAATATAATATATATAATAGTAATAATATTATAATATATATATAATATTAATAGTAATATATATAATATAATATATATAATAGTAATAATATTATAATATATATATAATATTAATAGTAATATATATAATATAATATATATAATAGTAATAATATTATAATATATATATAATATTAATAGTAATATATATAATATAATATATATAATAGTAATAATATTATAATATATATATAATATTAATAGTAATATATATAATATAATATATATAATAGTAATAATATTATAATATATATATAATATTAATAGTAATATATATAATATAATATATATAATAGTAATAATATTATAATATATATATAATATTAATAGTAATATATATAATATAATATATATAATAGTATTAATATTATAATTATATATAATAATAATAATTATAATATATAAAATTATAAAAAAAAAATATATTATAATAAATAAAAATATAACATCGGAAAGAAATTTCGTTTTTCAAGAAAATTTCGTTCCGCGGGGATTTTCAAAAACGCTTGATTCAGTATTTTTCCAATAAAAAAACGTGACTTCTGCGAGCGAGTAAGATTTCAAATCGCTCAGAAAAATGTCAACAAGTTACAGAACAATATCAAATCATCGAATAATATTTACCCTGAACATTATAAAGTCGTCATTTTTATTTTCTCGCGAAGGAGAAAGAAATTACGTCTCCCGAACGAAATGTTCAGAATAAATATTATTTACTATAATAATACTATATAATAATAAATACTATAACAATAATTTACTACAATAATAAATTTATTTATTCGTTTACGATTAAACTGTGGATCTTCATGCGAAATAAAAGTGTTCCAAGTGAATTGTAACAAACGAAAATTGAATGAAAATCTATTTTCTCTTTTACTTGACTAAAATCCGACTATATACAGTAGAGTTAACTATAGTTAACTGTATAGAGTTAAATACTAGTTGTTCGTGAAAGTAAAGCAGCAGCATCTTGAAAATGAATTTTTACGAATGGAGAATTTCGCCGCCGGTTGCACTTTCGAAGATTGGTCTAGCATTCGATCAACTCTCACCGCCGTGAAATAATGTTTCAGGTCTTGGAGACGAATGGGGCGCCATTCCGCCACCCGTCAACCCCATAGAAACTGCCATCAAGGAACTGGGCACTCATATATTGCAAGTAAGTACTCATCGTTCTCTGTGTCATACCGTATAAATCACTGCAACGAATTACATATTCGATTTTCGTTCAAATACTTGCCTATACACTGTCAACTATAGAGGTCATAGAAACGCCTAACCACAGACAAACATCTAACAAACAAAATTGTGCAGAATTACAATTAATCGCTCTAACTGGCAGTAATGTTACCGAACTTGAAGCCAGCGTTCTCCAGTGTTCTATAAAATTCTTGGAACGATGATGGTTAAATTACTGAAAGAATTATTGTAATTACAAAGTTATTCAATTACATTAAAACTCGATCACGTTCTATGTAACTCGTAGTTCAGATCCCAATTAAAATTAAATTAAAATGTATTCTGTAATTGGTAATTGCAATTGGAGCACAATTACAAAATGCTAAGTAATTAAATAAACATTAATTATGAATTACGATGTAATTGAATTAAGATTAGGAATAAAAGAAATGATAAATTGATAGATCATGAGAGAAGAAAATGCGCAGAAGAGACAAAAAATGGGTGTACGTAAGAAGAACATAAAGATGTATCTCCTCGTATCTCTCAACTGTGTTTCAGTTGCATTGTATTCGAATTGTACTCGTAATTAAAATAATTAGCATCTGAATTGACAGAAAGCTTTGAATTATGTAACTGAATTACAATGTAGTTGAATTACTATGTCATTGAAAAATGCAACGTAATTAAATTGCGCAATTGAATTAGCACAATTCTGGTCAAGGCAACGTTTATCTTTGGGTAATAGAACAGTTAGTCAATTAAAGTGAAATAGCGCTGTGTTTGTTTGTCATGGATCGATCTATTTACTTGCGAAACGTGTTCGGATATCAAAGAATTTAGCGGATTTTATAACAATGATTCTACCGTAATCATTTTACGATCAAATTGCCGTCAATTAAACAGTTTGGTATCGCTGAGCTTTCCAATGTTTTCGACTTTCCCATTTTCAATCGATTTTTAGTTGTGTATCTACAACCAAACCTTATTAACAAAATCATAACCGAGTTCGTAATTCTAGTTCCCATTTTTCGCAACACATTTCTCAAGCTTTAAAATTTAACGTATTCCTTCTGGATAGGTAAGTTTCTCTATAGACCTTAAAGAAACAACTTCGATTAATTATTAGAAGCTAGTTATGCATATTTTAAATAAATAAATATACGTCGAAATAAATATACGTTGAGCACTAATGGTTCAACAATATTTTGTGCGAACAATAATAACTAGATCGCGGATCTTTGTGCAAAATAAAAATGGTCTACATCAATTGCAAGATGTAGGGGAGCCAAGCACAATTTGATTGTTTTCATTAATAATTTGAATATGTTGAAATTAGTGCACCGATATTTTTAGTTACTTCGCATCTATTCAGCTAGTCTTAAATTTTATCCAACCATTTTCACATAAACGCGTAAAAAATCCGCGGTCTAATGTTTAAGTATTTCTGTCGGAGATCGAAAATGTGTGCGTCTAATTTTACAATATGAATATTGTAAATATTAAGTATAATTTAATATATATATATGGCATAAGTGCAATTGTATAATTTCAATTATACTTATATATTTAATTAATATTATATAATATTATATAATATTATATATATATATAATAATATTAAGTATAATTGTAATATATATATATTACAATTATTATAATAATTATTAAGTACTCGTAATTAAAAGTGTAAAGGTAAAATAATTATTATTATATATATATATATATATAAGTATAATTGAAATTATACAATTGAACTTATGCAATATATATTATAATTATACTTAATATTATAATATATATATAATAATATTAATAATATTGATTTTATTATATATATTAATATATATTAATATTATATAATAATAATAATATAATATATATATATATTATATTATTATTATTATATTATATATATTATTATTATA